GCAGGGAGCCCGACGTGGGACTCGATCCCGGGACTCCAGGATCATGACCTGAGCCGAAGGCAGTTGCTTAACCAACTGAGCCACCCAGGCGCCCCGTTCTTAGCTCTTAAGGAGGACACTATCCCAACCAGATAAGCCCTCGGCTGTTGTTCCTCACTTACGTCATTATGGGACCTTGTAGAACATGTTTTCTTCCTCAGACCTTCTAGTACTGGATCTGATATGTTTTATTCTTTTAAAGCAGTGACCCTTCTTCATATTTACTTTGGGGCTCCAGAATAGAATAGCATATCTTTGAAAACATTGGCTTCAGCTTTAATATTCTGCACCTCATACTCCCTTCAGCTCTATGGTTAACTGTATATACCAGTTTGATTGCCATATGGAAATTTAGCTCAGAGTCTATGCAGATTCATCAGAATAATTTCCCTCTTTACTGGCTTATACAAGATACAGATAGATATAGATATGTATGTATGTATGTGTGTGTGTGTGTATAACTGGCTTTCTTATAATGTTCATGTAATGGTGGTCCTCTTGTAACCTTTTGGGGTGTTGTGGTTTTGTAAATGATTTCAAGTAAAAATGGGAGTTTACCCCTCCCTAGAGGGAGATTATACTGGAGTCAGGGAAATTAAATATCAGGAAGAACATAGTTGCCAACAAAATGTTTTATTCTACATCTCCTTCCAGTCCTCTCTCTTGCAATCCTACTTGCAGGGAGAAAAACAGCATCACAAGAATACCTGCAAACTGCAAACCAAACTTTTATTTACTCTCTGTTGTTGAGCCAAATACTGGTGGCTTTCCTACTGCTTCATGTCAAAAATAGAGTGACGACAGCACTTTTCCAATGGCATCTTATGAATCTGCTCCCCAGCCACTTCAGACTTTACTCCCATTCATGGACATGTTGATGACTTAATGGTGTTTTTTGCTGTTAATCATAGAAATTTTCCTTCTGTTGTATTAAGCTTCTAGCCAATAGAATGGTTGGAGGAAAGCATAAACTTTTAATTCAGACACTATACCCTATCCTAATTGGTGGTAAACTAAAATACAAATAGGTACTACCTCTCTGTGTTTCAGTAAAATCTCAAGTGATTAAAGCTAAATATACATTTATTTTCTTATTGGGGCTCCAATTCAAAATGTGCTCCTGGTTTTTCTTCAGATTTGTAAACTCTTGATTGCCCAGTGTAAGAGCTGTATGAATACTTGCACTTCACTAAGGTTTAAAACCCAGGCGTCTGCCACTAGTTCTGTGTTCTTATACGGGGTTTTCTCAGTGGTTGAGTTACAAAAATTGAGAATTTTCAAGTAGCTATTCCTCCTTTCACTTTTGAAACTTAACTCTGTTTTGCTCAAAAACAAAACAAAAGCCTTTTCCTGGAAGTAAATTCATGACCCTCTTTTTGGGCATCTCAAAAAAAAAAAAAAAAAAGCTCAAGGTTAAGTTGAAAGAGTTGCATTCATCTTGATTGTAGAAGATCTCTGCTGCCTCTTGAAGCCAGAGTGAGACTATTTGCTTAAATTCTCAAGTTTGCTTTCTTGAAAAGTAGACACCATTTTCTGTCTTGAACTGAGTGTTTGACATGTTTGAATTTGATAGAAGAGTTAGACTTGAAGAGACCCAGTGGGCTAGAAGATAATGAGTGTGTAGTATATCTTCACCTAGCACCTTTTGGAAAGGGAGAATATATTTGTTTTGCCCTCTGTACGTATTTAGGATAGGTAGTGTGATAGTAGAAAATGGTCACTCTTGGTTTCAAAGAGCCAATAAAACATTTCTTCTTGTTTATATTAAAAGTAAACATTTACATTTGGGCCCCTTACTCTTGTCAAAACTACCATTTTTGTTTGTTTTTAATTTCTTCAAATGCAGTAGGATTTTTCTAAACAACCTCCCCTGTTTTATAATTCAAGCTTACAACCCAGTAAGTAGATTTTACTTTTTTATGTCTGAATTTCAGCATTTTTTGGCTAGCTTGCTTCATTAGCACGTGTGGTTTGGGATGCACTTTGCAGGAACACAAACCATGTGGAATAGCTCTGTGCTTGATCCACTAGAACATGTGTCTAAAGCACCAATTAGATTTGCAGTGGCCTTCCCCTTCTCAGACTTCTTGCCAGACACTGCACTGAGCATCGTTTTAAACATGTTTCTGTTCCAGACCACAGTGGTGAAGCTGGGGATTCTACTAAGTTCAAAAACACATGTCCAAATCCACAGTTAATTCAGAACATATTAATGTCATGTCAAGAAGTAATATTATGCCTTCCCGCCTCCCTTCTTTTGGCCATTAGGTTTACCTAACAATAATAATTTGTTGTGTAGCTTGGCTTGGGACATGCCACTAGACTTCAGTTCTGCACCTGTTTTCCAGAACTATTTCCTAGATTAATCTCCTCACTGTCCATTGCATTCTTTGCGTGGATAAAGGGACTTTTCAGTAGAACCATTCTAAAGCTGTAGATGTTAAAAGCTTTTTAAAATTATATTTCAGTAAAGCTGAAATTTTTAAAAATTGTTGCCAAACACATTAATCAGATATATCCTAGACACCACAACAATCTGAGTAGGCATGACACTATTTTCTTTATAACAAATGTGTTTCTAAGTGTTCCTCTTTTTCTTCTAAATATAGATGGGAAATCAATAAGAAAGTACCAGACATTCTCTTTTGTAAAAGTTGTTTGATATGAGAATAAAATACTTGTGTAAAACAGCCACTTTCTTTGGAGCAGATTAAAGAATGTGCTGATGAACCAGTTGGGAAAGGTTACTTGGTTTCCTGCTTGGTGGATCACCGAGGCAACATCACTGAGTACCAGTGTCACCAGTATATCACCAAGATGACGGCCATCATTTTCAGTGATTACCGTCTAATCTGTGGCTTCATGGATGACTGCAAAAATGACATCAACATTCTGAAATGTGGCAGCATTCGGCTTGGAGAAAAGGTATCTATTATATTTATACCGGCTTCACCAAAGGGGTCCTACGAACTTGATGAAAGAAAAGTTTTGTATAACTGGCATGGGAAAAATTTAGGGCTGGAGATGGCCTTAAAGTGGAGGTCCAGACAGCCCCAAGATGTAAGGCTAGTTGACCCGTGAATACATTTCATCTGTTTGTAGTGTGTCAGTACTGTCTGGGAAAGCAGAAGAATCAATATCAGCCAAGAGAAGTGTCATCTTCAAAATACTAAACCAGTTGCTTGTTACCTATAGCGTTCCCTGGCAAAGCATTTTGTTGTCTTGTGGGCAAAGTAGTTGGAGTAGGAGAGCCTTAACTTGTCTAACCTTTCTCTGCATATACCTCATTGCTGCTATAAAAAAATTACTTAGTAAACACACTGGTATAAAAGAAGATATTTAAATATTAGAAAAGTTTAAGATATGTGAAGGTACTTCTGGCTTGTGAGAAGAAAGGTACTCTATAAATGTGATCTGTTGCTATATCTTTATCTCGGAAGAACTAGTTTTAGTAAAGACAAGAAGGAAAATAACTACCTACCTGACGACTTCTTTCTTAATTATGTGTGGTCTTATTTTTGTTCTTGTGAGTGTCTGTTGTCCAAAAGCTCACAATGGAGGTTTGGCCAGGTTTATTCTGAATTTGTTGGCTCAGCAAAATGAAATAAACTCCTGAGAAGTAACAGATGCTGGGGGAGAGGTGGTCTGAGGCATATGTCTGACATCAGCTATTAGTTGCCACTGCTCATTAATCTGCTCTTTAGGAAATATGATGGGAAATAAAACCTTTTTGTCCCTTTGTCCTCTTATTTGTTCATTGCCCCATGGTTTGCCCGCTTCTGTCACTGACATAGGGTGGGGGGCATGATGTTGGAATGCTGGAACTGCACACACCAGTTCAGATGACGATTTTAGGGCTGGTTATTGTCTGCCTGTCACCAAATACCCTTTCCTTCATACCAGCACAGGGCTCTGGCCCTTTCACAGGGCACCTCTGAGTCAGTCTTGAGAGCACTGTGAACTTGGCATAGAGCTTTTGGCAGCTAAAGAAAGGCCAGTTTTAATAAAGAAGGCAGATTTCTTCCTTCCCTGCAGACTCTAAAAATGGCACAAAAGCTTAAGCTACCCTAATAATTCAGGAAGCTCTTCTGACTTTATTTAGGGTGTTAGAGATCATGTCCAATTCCATATCTCGCTCTTTTTAAAAGCTTCACATAAGTGTTCCAGACACATTTTTTTTAGGAATCAGTGATGACACTTTTCCGTATTTGTGATTAGTGGTCTACACTGTAGAGTAGACCATTACAATTCACCTCTTTTTATAGTAGTTTTTCCCTGTTGACACCAAGATAATTGCGGTTAGCTTCCCACTAGCAATCTGAATTGTCAGTATAAAACCTGCTTTCAACTGCATGTTTGAGTCATTAAGTCTTAGTGCCTGAAATAATCACAGAAAACAGTAGCACTAGAGCCCGAGAACCAGACGATGAGGATTGTTTGCCCAGCTTTGTAAAATAACAACAAAAAAAATGTTTCTATGGACCATCAAAATGCACATTTTTGTCATGTTTATCTTTTGCTCTACCTCCCGGTTAGGTGAACTTCTGTTTATACCAGGCCCCTATCCTGGGGCTTTCTGTATTTTGGGTACAAGAAGATAGATTCATGCTTGCACTCTTCAAAAAGCATGTTCCTTCCTATATAATCCACTCTGGTGCTACAGCCAAGTTTAAAAATGAGGGAGGCATGTCCTCAGCCCTTCTTGCCTTTTCTAACTATAGTTCGTTTCTCTGGGGCCAGTTATTTAGAAATGCAAATTATCCTAAAAATTAATGAATCAGCTTCTGGCTTGTCGATTTCAAATCTGCCACTGAAGCTTGCAGACTCTCTCTGTGACTGCCTTTGAACTGACTTCCTCCAAAGGTCAGAGGATCAGGGTAATGGTTCATTTGTTTGTACCCTGCCTCTGTATGAATGTAGAAGAGTCATGTGTCAAAACTGATTTTCTTTCAAAATGTTAATATATGTAAATTTGAGAACAAAGACTATATTAATAAAAATTTTTCTTTTTTTTTTTTTTAAAGATTTTATTTTTTTGAGAGAGAGAGAGCACATGAGAGGGGGGAGGGTCAGAGGGAGAAGCAAACTCCCCGCTGAGCAGGGAGCCCGATGCGGGACTTGATCCCGGGACTCCAGGATCACGACCTGAGTCGAAGGCCGCTTAACCGACTGAGCCACCCAGGCGCCCCTAATAAAAATTTTTCTAAATAAATATAGTTAAAATGGAAGGACAGATCTTCAAACGTAAAAGTGTAAATAATTTACATCATCTGAAGAAAAAGTACAGTGTGCGATCCAATACAGGAACTTAATTGTGGATGTGTGCCACATTATTACTACTTTTAGACTTTTCACTTGGTAGTTAATATAATTTTACCATTCCCTGCTTTTAACCACCTACTTTGAATAATTTGGTCAGTCTTTTTCTCTGTGTAGTGAGGAAGATCACAGAAGACACAAAAAACATCGAATTAGAGAGTGGTTTATAGCAGAGATGAAAACTGAGTTCTTCCTTTTTGAGAGTAGTGTCATTTTTCTCTGTTCTTAAAAAGAAAAAAGGACAAGGTTTATGGGGAAGAAAAGATACTGCCTATCAAATTGCTAAAAACTGATCAGGACTGTTAGTAGTTTTAAGACGACATTTATCTCGCCACGGTAGAAATCCATTTTAAGTTCATTTACAGGATCATTTGTTATTCCTGTGTCAAGCCTATGTATTAATAACTTACCCTTTTTTTTTTTTTAAGATTTTATTTATTTGACAGAGAGAGAGAGGGAGCACAAGTAGGCAGAGAGGCAGGCAGTGGGAGAGGGAGAAGCAGGCTCTCCACTGAGCAGGGAGCCCGACGTGGGGCTCGATCCCAGGACTCTGGGATCATGACCTGAGCCGAAGGCAGCCGCTTAACCGACTGAGCCACCCAGGCGCCCCTAACTTACCCTTTTTTAACCCTAAGTAATTTTATTTTCCTGTAGATGGTATGCTAGTGTGTGGTTTACCTCCCTTGATTTCATTCTTATTCAGTAATTAGCATACAGTGTTCTTTGTCAAATATTTGTATACATTTCAGTTATATAACTAAAATGGGCTGAACTGAAAATGCTCAGACTTGAGGAAACTGAGAAGATTACCTCAAATACAGTTATTTGAAAAAATTATCTAAAGTTAGGATGAATGAAAACATCTAATGGAGATGATGATATGGCCCAGCACCAATATGTGATGCTACAATTGCTGTAATTATAATTAAATCTCAGATTCCTGAGGGGATCTCAAGCCACGATGATGCTGCCTTTATTTAAATCCAAGAAGAAGCAAATGGAACCGTTAAGAAATATAATAGCCCTAAGTAGATAATCTTACTGGTGGTACAATTAAAACAGTTAAAGACCCTAAGTATACAGGGAAACACTTAGACTCATTACATGGAAATCATTTCTTTACCCTGTGATTCCAGGACTAAAGGCTAAATCTAAATCAAGAATTGACTATCAGATTATTATTTTCAACCCCTTTTATATTATTGCTAACAGCCATCTAAATAAGTTATCATGGGCTACTAAACTTTGGTATAGGATGTTGTTTTATAAACTAGGATCATGTTTATAATAATCTCTTGTATACTGTAAATAGTAAGTGTCTGATATGTTTCTATTGAAATGTTTGTTATCATAGGTTTGTTTTTCCTTTGGGAAATGGAAATGGGTAGGCCTCGCCTAAGTGGGCCATAGTCAGACAAACTTGAGTGTCACTCATTAAATTAGGAAGAAAAAATAAGCCTTATTCTGGAATTCTAAGGTTTGTGTCGACTCTTCTCTCTGTCCTTATCTTTTTGTCACTTGTCTCTCAGAGTCTATGTATCTTTTTTTTTTTTTTAAGATTTTATTTATTTGTCAGAGAGCACAAGCAGGGGGAAGCGGCAGGCAGAGCAGGCAGAGGGAGAAGCAGGCTCCCTCTGAGCAAGGATCCCGATGCGGGGCTCGATCCCAGGACCCTGGCATCATGACCTGAGCCAAAGGCAGCCGCTTAACTGAGGGAGCCACCCAGGCGTCCCAGAGTTTGTTTATGTTACTCAGAATTGCCCTCCAAAAAACCTTTATGGTCCTCTCAGGTTTTTATGCATTTAGAATCATACAACTAGTGTTCAAGGTTCAGGTACAGATAGAGAAGAGGAGGTATGAGAATCTGCTAGGAGAGTGTTCTTCCTAACCTTTTTTGGGTCAGCAAAATTTTGAAAATTTAATGAAAGCTGTGAACCCTTCTCAGGAGAATAAATAACACCCACATACAAATTTTAGGAGTGTCCTAGAACCCCAAGATCTAGAAAAATAAATGATGGACTGTTAGCTGGGCACCTTACTCTCTGCAACCCAAGACGAGTTGATAAACTCCTCTAGGCCTGTGTTTACTCTTCTGCACAAGAGATGCCACAGCTTTTATCTCCTCTCCACAGGTATCATAGGAGAGAACATGGACGTTTTCATGGAAATACTTAGAAATGAATGTGCTATTAAACAAACTGCATTACAACAAAGTTTAGGGAAAAAACTGTATACAATTTTTGTTATTGTTGAAATTTTGCTTAAGGTAGATGTTTCCCGGGACTCCTGTGTGGCTCAGCCGGTTAAGCGTCTGCCTTCAGCTCAGGTCATGATCCCAGGGTCCTGGGATCGAGCCCCGCATCGGGCTCCTTGCTCAGCGGAGAGCCTGCTTCTCCCTCTGCCTGCCGCTCTCCCTGCTTGTGCTTGCTCGCTCGCTCTCTGACAAATAAATAAAATCTTAAAAAAAAAAAAAAAAATCAGATGTTTCCCTTCCTGGTTTCAGGAATCTTTTTATTACATACAGATGATTTCATAGACACCGTATTTTACTATAACAAGATTGTGTGTGTGTGTGTGTAAATAAGAGATAGCGTGTACTTCTGCTGCTTTGGTTTGCTGTATTTATAGTTATACCTCTCAAGTTTTTGAAGCATGTCTTCTGGGTATAGCACATTGGGACTCTTGAATAGAAATATTTAGGGGAAATTTCTCATATTTTGAATGAATGAATGCTTGTGGTTGCTACGGGGATGATACAATGTACAATTAAAGATAATTGGATGGTTTTAGGAAAGCTCTCAAACTCAGTTTGTATAAAGGGTGGTAATCTCATTAAATCGTATTAAGATAAATCCAAAACATCAAAGTGAGTATTACAATACAAATTGTACATATTGGGGTTTTTGTGGACAGTATGGAGTAGAAAAATGAAGAAAGAGGGTCTCTGTAATGTCTTTTCTCAGTGGATTTGGGGTTGTTTTTTTTAACATGAATAAAAGCGTTATTATTGGGGAAATACCTCTCACCCTTTGAGGTCAATAAACAGATTTCTGCAGTGTTAATTCAGTATTGATACGAACCATGATCAGAGTATTGGGCTGATGTAAATTCTTAAAATTTTTCTGACATTTAAACAAAGAATTCAGGTTTCTCTTTCTAGTGCTAACTAAACTATATTTAAATCTCCCAGGATCTCTCTTTCCATTTGTAGCATGCAAGTATTCTGTTCTAACAGAAGATTGTTGGGGACATTTTCTGTAACTTCCACAGTGTGGTTGGTTCCCACCTAATTTCTCAGCAGAATGTCAGTAAGCCAACTATATATTGAATTGAGGGGGGGTTTTTTTGCTTGTTTTTATTTTTTTTTAAGCAAATGATGTTTATTTAAAACTCATTGTGGTGAGAGTTTTACAATATTAGTACCCTTGCTATTTTAGGATGCACATTCACAAGGTGAGGTGGTATCATGTTTGGAAAAGGGCCTGGTGAAGGAAGCAGAAGAGAGAGATCCCAAGATTCAAGTCTCTGAACTCTGCAAGAAAGCCATTCTGCGGGTGGCTGAGCTGTCCTCAGATGACTTTCATCTAGACCGGCATTTATATTTTGCTTGCCGAGATGATCGGGAGCGTTTTTGTGAAAACGTAAGTCAGCTCAGAAGCTGTTCTTCTCCTTTAAAGTATTTTCTAATACTCTAGTCCGAAATAAAATAAACCAGCACACTCTCCCATGTAGATAAGGCAGTGAAATGGAAGGCGGAGTTGTTCCCAGGAAAACAGAGAATGATGTTAGATGTTCAGCCTTGATGATTTAACATCTAGTTAACAGTTGGCTTCTGACAGTCTCCACACATTATTTTTTCTACTTTATCTCACTTTTCAATTTTAGTTCTTGGAAGTCTATGTTATTTATATACAGGAATCCTGTTTTACCAGGGAATCCTAATCACACCTATTCCATGTCTAAAACTGCCATATTACATGTTTTATGTTTTTGGCTAAGATGAATAAAACAGCAGGTGGCTAACTTTTAAAACTAAATCCTTGATTACTATCTGCAGACCTTACAGAAGACTTGCTAACACTTTAAATAGAATTATCTCCATCCTTACAACAAAGAACTGAGAGTAACTTGTGTATACTCCCACCCTCTGCTGTTTTGAATTAGCAGCTTTAACCATCAGAGCCACTGATTATGAGTTTTGTTGACTCCAACATAAAGTCGTAAGAAAAGACTCACAGACACTTCTCTTGGTTCCCTGAGTAACAATGTATCTGGGAACAAATGACAGTAGCCAAGCATCATGGGAAAATTTTTTTCATCTTTCCTGCGATCACTGTTTTCTTCCAAAGGCTACTAAATGTTATAAATGGCTGAGCCATTTGTTCAAAGGTGCTCACATTTATAATAATTTAAAGAAAGTTCTGTGTAAAATTGTGGATAGTGCCCAGCATAACTACTTAGCTAATTGTCATCATCCTCATCATCATGTGTATGTTCCATCTTACAGACGCAAGCTGGGGAAGGCAGAGTGTATAAATGCCTCTTTAACCATAAGTTTGAAGAATCCATGAGTGAGAAGGTAAGTATTACTTTGAAACAAACCAATATTTTATTCATTTCTTTAAAGTTTTTTTAAATCCTCTCAAACAATATTCTTATAAATTCATATCAGAATATAAATGACTGATAAAGCTTACCCTTTTCAGAGGCAGGACACTTAGCTTTTAGTTAGAGAACCAAAGCATATTTTGCTTAAGCCAAGAAAATGAAGCTTTGTGATATCTAGACATTGGGAAGCCAATTGGGAATCAATTTGGGGAGTAAAATTGGAGAATTGTGTATCATAGTCACACTGAAGCCAGCCCTGCATACTCAGGAAGCTTAGGCCAACCAAACCAGTGTGCTTTGCAGGTAATGACCTATTTAATTTTTCAGCAGCTGTCTCATTAAGCATTCTCAGTACTATTAGTCCTCTGTCCCTGGATGAATGCAAGCATCTTTTATGACTTTTAAAAAGAAAATTACTCTCGGTTGTGCTCTCCTGCCATTTACTTTCCTGTGCAGCTGAAGAAATGTTTCATTTCAGTTGCTTCTGTCATTTACTACTGAATAATCCTGTAGGCTTAACACAGCATAACACAGGGTGTTATGTTAGCTGAACCTGGCTTGAGGGACATTGTGGAGGAGAACTTGGTCAGGCCGCTGTAACGGAGCCCACCAAGGACTCGTGTGCGTAGGACGGCAGCTCTGCTATTGCAGCAGCCGTCAGCAGCTCAGGGTAGGACCCCAGGCCTTTGCCAGCCCTTCAGCCTTACCTCTTCCCACACTAGTTTCGCACAAACTAACACAGCACCAGCACACGAACACATACTGTGTTCGAGTCTAAATGAATTTCAAGGTAGGCATTTTGGTGACGGCTGGAGTTGTTGACATATACTTGGCCACGAGCCTCTGCTGGTCTTAGAGGCCCCTGTGAACAGCAGAACCACCTGAGTAGTCTTACAACTCTGTTGTTGCACTCCTTATTCAGTGTCGAGAAGCACTGACGACCCGCCAAAAGCTGATTGCCCAGGATTACAAAGTCAGTTATTCGTTGGCGAAATCCTGTAAGAGTGACCTGAAGAAATACCGGTGTAATGTGGAAAACCTTCCGCGGTCCCGGGAAGCCAGGCTCTCCTACCTTCTCATGTGTCTGGAGTCAGCTGTGCATAGAGGTAAGAGTTCCTTTCTTTTTACCCTTTTCAGTCCTTTTCGGATGTATATTCTAAAGCCTCTTGTACCTATAGATGTTCTTTTCCTCCTGCATTTGCTCTTTTGAGCGCACCTGGGCCTTGCAACTTGGGAACCTTTCTTTAAGCATAATTCCAGGAACTGAAGGCTTGGTGTCCCAAAGCCTTGTTAAAGGCTCTTTCTCTTAGCTCAACAATCTCCAGTTTTGTTTTTTTTTTTTATTTCTTTATTTGAGAGAGAGAGAGTGAGCGCGTGAGAGAGAGGAGGAGCAGGGGGAGAAGCAGAGGGAGAAGCAGACTCCCTGCTGAGCAGGAAACCCAAGGTGGGGCTTGATCCTGGGACTCCGGGATCATAACCTGAGCCGGAGGCACACACTTAACTGACTGAGCCACTCAGGTGCCGCATTTTTTTTTTTTTTAAGTAAGGTATATTTCTCAAATCCACTCATTTTAATTTTTTAAAATGCATAGTCAACATTTTTAGCAGAGTCAGGGTAGCATAATGATTTAATGTATGAGCTTTGGGTCAGAGAGATAGGGCTTTAAATTAATGGCTGTATCATCAAATTAACTGGCTGGGTGGCCATTGTTTACATTTCTTAATCTCTCCCCAAACTCATTTTTCTTATCTATAAAACAAAAATAATATTTATAGTGAGGAATTCTTATGAGGATTGAATGAGGTTATTTGGAATAGCACTTAGCATTAAATAAGTGATAGGTACTGTTATTCTTAATAATACTGATGATATTAGGAAACTAAATAGAAACTTTTGAGTCCAAAAGTCAACCCCTGACAAAAGAACCAAGATCGGCTGTATAGAAGATCAGGGTTGTCTTTCTTAATATTGGCTATAAGTTGTAAAAATGAAATGCCCAGAGACAATTGGCTAGTGATTAAAAAGTTAAGTGGAAAAAAATCAATCATTAAATAAAACTGAAATTTTGATGAATTTTTTTTTTTCATATCTGGATAGTGGGAAAAACTCCTAAGCTTGAAAGCAATGGAATAGCACCCAGGGACAGTGCATGGTCTTGAATACCAAACAAAGGACATTTTGGAGACAATTGGAGAATGTTGATTATGGTCTGGATATTAGATAAAATTGTCCAAAAATGGAAAAGTAGAGATTATTGACTTGTAAAAGAATATTGTAAAATGGTATACATAATATCATCTAATTTGGGTATTTAAAAAAAAGAGTTAATGTTCTTAAACTGCAAATTAACAAGAAGAGAAAGACTGTAAATACACGGCCAAAGGCTATGTGCAGATAATTTAGAAAAGTTACACAGATTGCTAATGTTAAAAAGACTGACCGTATTAAGTGTTGATAAGGATATGGAAGAACTGGACTATTGAACACTGCTGATGGGAAGTTAAAATAGTACAACCATTTTGGAAAATAGTTTGCCAGTTTCTTGAAAGTTAAATATACATCTACCATATGACCCAGCCATATTTACCTAAGAGATATGAAAGCATATATGCATATAAACTCTTATACATGAATGTTCATAACAGCTTTATTTGTAATAGCCCAAAACTGGAAATGACCCAAATGTCCATCAACAGTTGAAGGGATAAGCACATTGTAGTATATCCACATAATGGAATCATATTACTTGACAATAAAAAGGAATGAATTGTTGATACATGGATGAATTTAAAAATAGTTACACTGGGTGAAAGAAGTTAGACCAAAAAAGTGCATACTGTATGACTGTTTATATCAACTTCTAAAAAGTGGAAACTGGTAAACTAATCTGTAGTCACAGAAAGCAGATCATAGGTTGATGTGGGAGGGGTCTGGGGTGGAAAGGGAGGGAGAGATTCTCAAGGACCATGAGAAACTCTTGGAGTTAATGGAAATCTTCACTATCTTGATTGTGGTGATGGTTTCAACAACGTACACATATGTCAAACTTCCCCAGTTGTATGCTTTAAAAATATAGTCTATTTTATGTTAATTACACCTCAGTAAAGCTGTTTTTAAAAAAAATTTCTTGGGGCACCTGGGTGGCTCATTTGTTGAGCGTCTGCCTTCGGCTCAGGTCATGATCCTGGGGTCCTGGGACCGAGCCCCGCATCAGGCTCCCTGCTCCGCGGGAAGCCTTCTTATCCCTCTCCCGTTCCCCCTGGTTGTGTTCCCTCTCTCGCTGTGTCTCTCTCTGTCAAATAAATAAATAAAATCTTTAAAAAAAAAATTTATTGGGTTTTCCCAGTTGGCATTTTTAGCTCAAGGAAGGAGGCTAGGGAGGCTATCGTGAATATTTGAAATGTGGTCTTTTTCACAGGCTTTAACTCTGTAGGCCAGTAGGGATTGTTCTTGGCTTTCATTGTTACCCCATAATTATCTTATTGATAAGACTTCCATTGGCACAGCATTTGCATTATTGGTTTAGTAGTATAAAATCTATATAATGCAGAACACTGTCCAGATAAACCCTAGTCTCTGAAGTCTTAAACTCTTAAAGCTCTTTCTGTATTCTAAGCTTTTCAGTCTAGATAATAGCATGACTGGTATATTATATTCTAGAGGAAAACGTGTACTTTTATATGTGGTGATATCTGATTGTAATGCTCACCGTCCATAATGTTGTGACTTAAATCCTAACTTAGGGCGCCAAGTAAGCAGTGAGTGCCAGGGGGAGATGTTAGATTACCGGCGCATGTTGATGGAAGACTTTTCTTTGAGCCCTGAGATCATCCTGAGCTGTCGGGGGGAGATTGAACACCACTGTTCTGGATTACATCGAAAAGGGCGAACTCTGCATTGTCTAATGAAAGTAGTTCGTGGGGAAAAAGGGAACCTCGGAATGAACTGCCAGCAGGCGGTAAGGAAAAATTTTCTACTGCCATTTTGAATGTTACATGCTATCAGCTGAGGAGCCTCTTCCTGACACTGTCCCAGCTTCCTTTATCATCTGGATCATTTGTGACATCACATGAACATTGGGTACTAAGAACCAGACACAGAATATTGTTCAAGCATATCTTAGTAAGAACGTGGAATTTATTACAGGGCAGAAGTTTGAATTCATAAACAATAAATGGAGCTTTGTACTTAAAGAAATAGATCAAATGCATTGTCTGCTAGAGTTTTTAAAGGAAAGATAACTTGCTAGATGGAATTTCTAAACTCAGAACCAAGGTGAACCAGGTCATGGTAAAACAGAAAACGTCCTCTACCAAAAGAGGATTTGCCTATCTCTATAGATTTGATTGAGTTGAGGCTGAAAGAGAGCTGTAACGAATTGAAATTTTCTAAGAGTTTCTTTTTATTACTGATGTGCAGCATACCATGAATTCCTGGTCTGAAGGATCAAGAGAGCATGTCATTTTCAAAATCACACCATCTGTCTTGTTACAGTAGGGCAACTGTGCATGGAAGGGCCTTTCTTTCTCTGTCCCCAAACTCTACCATCAGTTCTATAAAGATATTTGGAAAAAATTAGTGTACTTCTTGGGAAGATAAAGTTATTTTTTTTCTTTTTTCTTTTTTTTTAAAGATAAAGTTATTCTTGCTCCAGGGTTCATGAACAGTTTGAATAACTACAGATCAGGGACATAATATACAGTTAACAAAATACTATAGATGCAGCGCATCTGTTTCATTACCATTGTCCATATTTATTGCTTTTTACTGAATAAGAGTCCTTGAACAATTCTCAGTACCAAATGCAACATTGGTACCCTGTAAAGTGTACTCCATACATCCCTTAGAATGCACAAAAGATATCATTTGGTTTTGTATCCTAAATTAGGAAGTTGAGGCTCTTTTCTCAGTGAAAGTTTAGAAAACCACAATTCAGTTGGTCTTTTATTTTGTTGGCATTTTTGTTAAAAATTGAGTATTTCAGAAAATCACAATTTTACAGTCTGAAACAAAATTCCCATTGAATTTTGATATGGAGTAAAATTTCATCTTAGCTCCTGTTACTCACCCTGACCCAGAGTAGACAGTAAATTTTACATCCTGTGGTGGAGGAAGTGGAGAAATAAGTAGGCTCTTCTCCAAAATCCCAAACCCAGCTAGAAGGAAGGCTTCTGGAATCTGCTGTGGCTTTAGTTGGCACAGTGTAGCTCCTCAGGAGCAGTCCTTGCTGGTGATTACCCTAGGAAACCTCTGTGACAATATGTATGGGCCTCAGACCAAGAATGAATCAAGACAGCCATATTTGCATCTCATCCTTTAATGCAGCATGTAAAGGAGAGGGAGGTGGTCATGAATAAAACTGTCTTTTTACTGAGGCTACACTTTTACCAAGGTGTAGAGAAAAAAGAGGAGAAATTGGTTTAACTATTTGATGGCATCTACCTCCAGGGCTTTTAAAAATTTAGCTTGTTAAAAAGAACTAGTGAGTCAACTTGAAAGATAAATAAGGACCACCCATCTCATCCTTTGTGCCTAGAAGAAAAGTGGGTTCTAAACCTAGAGATTAGTCTCAAATAATGAAGTACGTGGTTTTGCCCACATTAATTAAGTTTAGCCAACTGGGAAAGAAACACTTTATTTTTTTTAGTCTTTGCTCACAAATATTGAAGGAGTAAATGATCCAAATGGAGAATATTTTCCTTAGTCTTCTTCCACTACATTATCCATCCTCAATCAAGTGGAAGAATGTTTTGAAATAATTTATTTTGAGTAGGTTTCTTTCTTTCTTTTTCAAAGTTTGCTTCCTTGATAGAGTAAGCTTCCATGCCTGTCTGTGGTTGGCCTCTGATTTTCCCCATTCTCTGCTTGGTGATGCTTTGACTCCGTGATCTCTCAACAAATAGTAAACTGTGAAACATGTGGATAATTTTTATCTTAATGAGTACATACTTTTCCAGTTGTACCATAATCATGAACTTATTAAATTCTTTTCAGTTATGACTGAGCGCCTCTGGGCCCAGTCTCTCTCTGACCAAAGATGACTGTGCAGTGTATTCTCTAGACTGATTGTTTGTCAGAAGCATTTCCCCAGGTTTTTCCTGAGCAGTCAGGGGCTGGAATGAATATACAATCATGTGGCAATTCATGTTCTTAGTGTTTATTTCCTACACTGCTGTCCCTGGATTCCAGAGCGGCAATGATCCCTTGAGCTGTTAGCCCACAGGAGTCTGTAGGGCATTCATTGTCTCCTTTTAGGAGCTGCAGTCTGGTGCATTCATTGTGAATTCTCAAAGTTTGCCTGTCACTTGTAGATATTTAACAAATACACTTCTTGCAGAGAGTTCCAGATTCCCATGATACTTATAACTTCCCTCAGAAGAAGGTGTAAATATTTTGGTCTTTGTCAGCAAGCGTCATTACTAAAACTGGTAGTGATCTATCAACTAACCACAGCATTTTGTAGCTTCTCCAAATTGCCATCAAGAATTGGTATAAATAACTTCCATCCCAGAATATTGGAAATCTTTTCTGTTTCTCTCATCTTGATTGTTGATGTTCGGATAGACAGAATTGGGATTTTCTTTTTTCATTTCCTTTTGATGTGTGTGCTCTGATCAATGTGTGATGGGGTCATTGCTTTCATATGAGCCCCTGTGGGATTGTAGGTCACGTGTATGAGGATCAGAGAAGGCTCTCCTCCAGAGGCTAAATCTGTGACACAAAAAGAGGGCTCCAGTTCTTTAACTTGGAAAAAAGGGAACCCAAACCAGAAAGATTATAGTTTCCAAATTTGCTTTCTGATATTTAAGATTCCCACCCCAAAACACCATCTGCTATCCATCTGTACTAATAATGATCTTTTAATACATAGAATGCTTTGCTATTTATACAACCTTCTCCTGTATATTACTCTTTCTTGTAATCCTATTCATTTCAAGAAACTGCAGCTAGAGGTTAATCATGCCCATGTTCTCAGAGCTAATATCTGGCAGAGCCAGAACTATTAATAGAACTCAGGTCTTCTGATCCTTAATTTAGAGCTTTTTCTTCTGTGCCCCAGCTGCTTTCTCCTCAAAGACAGGAGAAAAGAGGCACGTCTTCTCATGCTTTGACTTTGTTCCATGGACAGAGGATGGATCAAGCAGAAATAAATGTTAAAGAAAATACCCTCATTTTCAACTGCATGATGACAAGTATTTTTCTGGATATATATAACGAGCAAGCTGTGGTTTACCTCTTGGTTGTATAAAAGATAATTGAGGAAAAATGGGAGTTATAAGTATTGTATTCTTGGTTTTTGTAATTGATATTTCTTTCAAGTTAAATGAAATCTCTCTTCTGTTTTTAATAACTTGGAGCATGCTTGTTTTAATGCCAATGTATTGGCATCAAAATTCAAATTCTAGATTCTTAATGACCCAAATAGGTTTCTTTCTTTTTTTTTTTTTTTTAATATTTT